ATCCAGGAGGATTCCTAAATTATGCATGAGTTCCACCCGGGGGAGTGCAATCTTCTCAAAAACTCAGTGGTGTGTTATGCCGGCATGGGACCTTAGGCAAAATAAAATTTAGGGTCCCCCAAAATTTTGATGCAAATCCACCCTCTTGGCCCCATGTAGCACCCCCCAACTTCCCAAGGAGGAAAAGGGGTCCAGCCAATCCAGCATTGGTGCAAAAGGAGGGAGATGAACTCAGTCCAAGGTGCCCCTGGCTGATGTCCTCTGTGGGCCCCCCAAGTGGCACCAGTCTGCCTTCTCCGTCCCTCCGTCCCAATGCCAGACCTGCAGCTACTGCTCTCACCACTGCCTGGAGCTGCTCCTTTGCCCGCTCCAGTCAGGGGAGGGAGACGGGCAGCTTCAGGTAGGTGGAGCCCAGCCGGGGTGGACGAGGGCTAGGCCAAGGCTGGCCTGCCTCTGAGTGTGGGCAGAGCAATGAGGGGCCTCACCAGGCAGGTGCCACATTCTACAAATTAACACACACACCCCAGCAGACTCTGCAAAACAGAACTCGGGCACCCACTGCCTCTGAGAGCATGCAGAGTGTACCCCGACCCTCTACCCTGACCAGAGCAAAAGAGAGAAACAAAAAAGTCAGAATCAAGATGTGTTGGAGGGAGCTTTATGTTGGTGCTCAAAAGGGACAATGCTCCAGAATGTGTGCAGAGGCCTCCCCATTCCCCCACCCCACCCCACCCCATCTCCAGGAGTAGCCCTGAGGTTTTGCTACTAGATGTGGGGCAGGAAAGGATCTCCCCATCCTGCCGCTGGTCAAGTGGGTGGGGTCCCAAAAACATGATTTTGGGCCCCTCTTTTAGGGTGCCCTAGGTAAATACCTAATTTGCCTATGCCACTGCAAAACCTGTAGATGGTACAGGTAGTCCTCAGCTTACAATCACAATTGGGACTGGAATTTCTGTCACTAAGCAATGCAACTGTAAAGCACGACATCACGTGACCACATCGCATAGCGATGGCAATCCCAGCGCTCTCTGTTGCTGTCATTAACTGAGTTCCACCGGTCGTTAGCCAAGGAGCCACCCCAATCCAAGCCATTCCGGGCTTGGTTCCTCCTAGCCCCATGCCTCAGTAAGGTAAGGAACTGCTTCCAACTCCCCCCCGCCTATCTACCCCCCATCTCTGCTCTTTTGGCTGCCCTATGCCCTGTCTTGCGGGGCGGCCAGCAGCCCTAGAACCGCATGGCTCAGGGGCTGCAAAAAGCCCTTGAGCCACAGTGCAGTGCAAAGCTCCAGCCTCCCCTGGAAGCCTCAGCCGCCCTAGCAAGCACCAGCAAGCATTCATTTGCCCAGCTGCCTTCTCTCCCAGTTCCCCGCGCTGACCTTTGCCTTTTGCACCCAGCCGCTGCGGCCAAAGCAGAAGCACCTCGCTGCCTTTGCTGTTTCCTTTTTGGACCCGCAGCCGTCAGTGCAGGGAACTGGGAGAGCTCAGTGAACAAATGCTTGTTGGGGCAGGCTGAGGCATCTGAGACTTCCAGGGGTGGCTGCAGCTTCGCGCTGTAGCTCAGAGGCTTCTTGCAGCCCCAGAGCCACAGCTCACCAAGAAGAACCTGAGCCTCAGCATGCAGAGCCGCGCAGTTCTGGGGCTGCTTGCCGCCATACAAGGCAGGGTGCAGGGCAGCTAAAAGGGCAGAGATGGGGGTAAAGATAGGCAGGTGGGGGGAGCTGAAGCACTCCTACAGTGATAAGTGCGGGCAGGCTACCAAGAGCTCAAATTCTGATCACGTGAGCATGGGGGTGCTGCAACAGTTGTAACTTCGGGGGCCAGTCATAAATCCATTTTTTCAGCACCATTGTAACTTCGACTGGTCGCTGAATGAATGGTCATAAGTCAAGGACTACTTGTAGTTTCTTGATTTAAATTACTCTATAAAAAAGAAAACCATTATTTGAAAAAATGTTTCCCATCCAAGCACTAGCCAGGGCTGATGCTACTTAACTTTCTGAGATCAGCCCCAACTAGAACAGTTGTTAAAAATCCTGAATCAAAATTTAATCACTGAAATATATTTAGCTTGAGGGAGATATAATGTATGTTTTCCAAACATTTATCTATAAGTAGACACCGCTAGTCGTCACCATCACTATGGTATATATGAATCACATGAACACTACTACTTAATTAATGATTGAGTATTCTGGATAAACAGTACCCAATTTTTTTCCCCTTCCACCTAAAAAAGTTTACCCTGTAACTTGTTGCACATGAATAACTGTTGTTTGAACACACACTTCGATAAAGAAGCACAAACCAGTCAAACAACTGGAAATAATGATTTATTAAATGTATATGCCACCCAACTCCCAATGAAAAACCTAAGTACTGTAACTAAAAAGACAAAAACGAGTTCAGGAATATAGAACTCTCATGCCAAACATTCCAGAAAGAAAGAAAAAAATATATTAATGTTGTTTTAACTAAAATGAACAGCTGTGACTTCAATTTTCTTAGAGTTAAAAGACAAGATTGATTCCTGCACTTGACTGTAATTAGTGTATATTTTATGGACAAGCATTTTTATATCACGGAAATACCTTGTTTGATTGGTCAGAATTACATTAACTGAATTGCTACCAAATTTAGAAACTGTACAGTCTGTTTATATTGGATACAATGATGCAAAGCAAACTGACTTTGCCTGATGCAGTAGGTACAAAACAGTTTCCCAAATTGTTTTTATATTAGATAAAACATTTAAAATAGGTATCAGAGAATAATGCCTGTTTTGGGTTATTTTGATATATGTGTGACACAGTAAAGATTAGAAATAATCCTTTCGGTTAAATAGCACACACCTCAGAACCTTCTAAGATTTAAGTTATTCTTAAGCTTAAATTTCAAGGAAGGCAGATTCTGACTGAATGTTAGGAAAAACTTCTTAACAGCAAGAGCAATTTGACAGTGAAACCAATCTCCCAGAGAGGCAGTGAGCTTTTCTTCATTGAATACAGTCAACAAGAGGCTAAGAGCCAGTTGTCTGGGATATTTTCACTTGGATTTCTGCACTGAGCAGGGAGCTAGACTCACTTGCCTAACTCTGTGATTCCCTGTAAGGAATATTTTAAAAAGCACAATAATTACAATGCTTCTTCAATACTGTAATAAATTGGTGGATCAATGAACTTAAAACTTTACAGGAACACTGAGCCTTTTTAAAAAAATTATCAGGTGTGTGAAGGATTTCTTTTACAGTATTTACAATTATAGCTGCACACAGATATTATGTATCTAAAACAAGTCAAATCTCCAAACAAAACACAATGGCCATTAGGTAAACTGGTCAGAGCTCCCTTATTAAACAGCAATTCTGGTAAGTAAAGATGATTTCAAGAAAAGGGGGAATCCCAGTAATAACTACCTTAAGAGGATGCACTACTGACTATTAGCCACAAGTATATTTCTCCAACTAATTGAAAAATTACAACAATTAACATTCATTAGTGCATCAAAACTTCAGTTTGCTGAGGACTGCTAAACTGAAGACAAACACTGGGCTATCTGAGAAGTTCCAGTTTGTAAAATGATTTTTTTTCTCCTGCAAGTAATGGTACAAGTGAGAAGCAAAAAAGCAGTTAACTCCCTTTTTGGTAGCAGCCTCTGAATTACTGTATAATTATCAGAGTCTACTGGAGTGGGGCAATTTATAAATTCAAATAATAATAATAATATCATAACACTCCTACTCCAGCAGTGCTGGGATTGCTGCAAGAAAACAAGAAACCTTAAACAAAATGGAATACAAAACAAAACGTATGATTCCTCAGCACATGGAACAACAATTACAAAATGAAGAAGCACCCTGTATCCTTATTAACATAGAAGAAACCATAAGGGAACACATCATGCTGGTCTCTTTCCTCAAATTTTCCTGTACCTCTTGCATCAATGCAAATGTTCAGTCAGAACACACACAGCGTAGTGTATCCACAACAAGGGAGACAGACTCTTTATTTATACCCAAGACCAATGATCTAACAGATTGGGCCACATACTAGCCAAGCACATTTCAGCAAAAACAAGCCAGAGACTCCTTCTTAAATGTTGAATAAAATTAGTATTACTGGATATGGAAACGTACGTGATTGTCTGATCACTCCCTCCAGCCAAGGAAGGGAACAAATGTTCACTGTAGTTTGTCTGGGTAAACCCCCAGACAGACAAACTCTTCCCAGAAGTCTGTTTTGCCAAGTGTTACGTTTCACAAGTCAGGCAAGTCTCTCTTCCCTCCTCCCACCCCTCGTTACAACTATTAAAATAAAAGGAAATTAGATCTGCTCTTTTCCCAACCCCCTACACCAAAGCCGATGCCAAAAGTTTGATTCAGCCTGGGATCGACACCCGACACCCGCTCCTCCAAACTCCAGGGAAATATCTGCGTCTGAGGGCCGCAAAGCGCTCGGAAAGTAAAACTTTTGTCTCGCTTTCGAGGCACAGCTGAGCTCGAGAGCCCCATCACGCAAAAGGCCAAGGGAATCCTTCCCTGGGAAAAGGCAGGCTCCCCGAAATGATACGTTGACGAGGAGGGGGACACGGCACGGAAACGCCCTCCCGCTCTAGATCAGAACTTGTACAACGAAGGCGCTTCCTGCCTTTTTCCCTGCCCGACCGGGAACGGGTCGCTCGCTCTCCTCTCTCCTACCCTCACATACAGCACACACATCCTTCCCCTGCACCGTCTCTCCTAGAGAAGGTGGCTGAATCTTTGCTCGCCATGGTACAGCCGCCTCTTGGACTCCCCGCCCGCAGCCTGTCCCTTCCCGCCGCCACGCACGCTCCCGTACGCATCGCTTCCCCATGCCCACTCGGCTCCCCCTCACACCCCCACGCACACCTCCTCCGTTCCCATTCCCGAGTTGCAAAGAAGTTTCCATCTCCACAACAAAAGGGTCCCTCTTCCCCAAGCGCGGGACCGTAACAGCCGACAGCGGGGCGGCCCCAGAACGTACCCCCGACGGACCCCAAGTTGCACCGAAGTACTGAGGTGGCGAGCAGCAACAGGAGCCACAGCAGCGGCGGCGGCGGCGCTGCCGCCTCCATGTTGTGCTGCAGCAGCAGCTGCCCGCGGACTGGCTCAGGCAGGCTCCATGCCCCGTGTGCACCGCGCTCGGCAGCGAAGGAGGCGGGCGCTCCCCGGATCCTCCTCCTCCTCCTCTCCTCCTCCTCGTCGTCGTCGTCGGTGCTGTCGCTCTGGGAAGGAGAGAATGGGAACGGGGTGGGAGCCTCCCGCTGCAATCCAACCCGAGGAGGAGCTGAACGGAAGCCAACAAGGCGCTCCGCCCCTTTCCCGGCGTGGGACAACCGCGCGCCCCAGATTTTGCTGTCCCTGCCTGTGCTGGCGCGCCTGCTTGGGGAAAGAGCGCCAGGTGTGAAGTTCGCCCTTCAGGTTTTAAATTCAAGAAGTCACCTCCCATAGAAAGGAGGAGGAGCAGCAGCAGCTGGGGGTGGGGGGACTGAAGGTGCCCACAAACCGCTTCCCAGTTTAGGGGGCCGTCCAAGTTTGTCTTAGACGTGTGTGCTGGAAAAAGTTTTATCTCATTTCGACAGGGTCAACCCCCATGTAAGCACAGTTCCAAGGAGCCCAGATTAAGAAGACTGCCTCCCGAGGGCGCTTGACAACATCGCGGGTGGAGGCTCAGTATCCACAGACTGCTTTGCCGTTGGTAAGACTTGAGGAACAAAAGGCTGTTGTGAGGGCTACCTTCTGCTGGCAGGAGTTTTGAATCTTGGAAAGCTGCCAGACAGGAAGATAGCGATTGGGGCCACGACTGCATTTCATTCTGTTCCTGGAAAGCCTGCACCTGTCTAACCCTTGGCAGGCCAAAGGTGGCTGTAACACAGCACATGCTGTACAATGTTCACTAACAAAAATTCTTTGCATTTTAAGCACCTAAACTACTGTGGCGGAGGCAATATGCCCACAGACACCACCCTTGGCGCCATGAAGCTCTCTGCTGCATCTGACTTATTATTTTTAGATTCTTCTAATTAGGAATAAAATAATAGGAAACAGGTATGCTGCAAAGTGCCAGCCTCGTGCATCTTTTTAAAACAAGAAAAACTGTTTTGAAGGGAAAAGTACAAAAGGCCCTACAGACATTTTAAACAAGGGAGAGTGAGTTACAGCCCAGAGCTTTGCTTTAAATTGGTTTGCTTCCTAAAAATTAGAACATGAATTAGATCAGCTGCAATAGTAAAGAGCATCCTGTGGGCTAGATGGAGTGGTGGGTACCCATCTCATCCATTTGCCTTGTGTGCAAGCGTGTTCCTGTGCAACTGGCTGGGTCCGCCATGGCACAATACAGTGGCACCCCCAACATTCTACATACAGTGGGGCAAAAAAGTATTTAGCCAGCCACCAATTGTGCAAGTTCTCCCACTTAAAA